CCCACCTCGGCACCTTCTTTTCCCCTCCCCCTTATTGTAATGAATAACCATAGCTGTTATCATTATCATTCAAATACAGGCCCCCGTAGTCGTAAGAATTGGGAGAATTTTAGAGGGATAAAAGAATTCTTAAGCAAATGGTTTATAAGTGTGTGATTTTTTTCTTATTATCAGAAAGGGATGACATTCTTAGAGTTATCATTGGAAACCCGAAATTGTTGAACTTGATCCTTTTTGGACTTTTCTGTGTTTAATCTTAGGGTTAACCTTTGTAGAAATATTCTCTGATTTTGTTAAAAGTTGAAAATGAAAAATTGTATGATTTTTGACATGAATAAGGGAAGATAAAAATGCTATTTCCTTTTCACTATTCAGAAATAGTTTTTTTTAAAGATTTTTACATTTTTTTCTTATCTTGCTTAGCCTCATCAAGGTTACTTGTAGTAAACACCTACTCCATAACAAGTTCTCGAACGTATCTATCCAGGTACAATCAGTCCCCTACCCAACTCAACCAGGACTGAATCCCAGGCTCTAAATGGCACACAGGGACACAAGCATAGCTATCAGTGTTCAACCAGGACTTAATCCCAGGCCCTAAATGCCACACAAGCTATATATATATTGATCCCAAATGATGGGGACAATATCCAACCTGGTTATATATCAACACAGGGTTTCAGTGCTTCAATACCACAAGGACACAAGCCTATCTATGCAACAAGCTATTTATCGATCCCAAATGGTGGGGACGATCCAGCCTGGTTATATACCAACAAGGGTTTCTGCGCTTCAATGCCACACAAGGAAACTAGCCTAGCTATACAACAAGCTGTATATCTATCCCAAAGGATGGGGACGATCTGACCTGCTTAGCAAACAGGGTTTCAGTCTAGCTATCCACAACCTAGATATCAATCCCAAATTAACAGGGACGATCCACCTGAATACAAGGTTCAGGGTTTCAGGTTTACTCTTTACACAGTAAACAGTACGGAGATACTCTATAGAACTAACTTTATTCAATATCTTATGTCACAAAGTTAACAGGAATTGATGTAGTTACAATTCCTACGAGTTTATCTATATTTAGGGTTGTTAATCGTTTTTGTAAACGATCGTTAAACGATCGTTAAAAGATCGTTTTTTGTTCCGTTTTCAAAAACGATAGTTCCGTTTTCGGACAAAAACTATCGTTTTTAAAAACGACCCAATCGTTTTGAACTTTTAGAAAACGAACAGTGATCGTTTTTGAAAACGATCGTTTTTATTAAAACGATTTGCAACCGTTTTTTATACGATTGTTTTAAAAAAAACGATCGTTTTTGAAAAAACGATCGTTTTTGAAAAAAAAATTATTGACAATTATGTTTACGATCGTTAACGAAGGGTCTTCGAAAACGATCGTTAACGAAGGGTTGTCGTTAACGATCGTTAACGAAACGACGATGATATTTTCTTATAAACTACTCAATAGTAAAGATGCCCTTCAGGTCGGTCGGTCGGTCGGTACATTTAACTTGTTATATCAAAATAGTTTAAATCGTCATTTAAGTCTCAATCTTTAAGAGTAACCCTGTACATCCCAACCCTGTACAGGCTGTACACTGTACACTGTAACCCTGTACATCCCAACCCTGTTCAGGCTGTACACTGTACACTGTAACCCTGTACATCCCAACCCTGTACAGGCTGTACACTGTACACTGTGACCCTGTACATCCCAACCCTGTGCAGGCTGTACACTGTACACTGTAACCCTGTACATCCCAACCCTGTTCAGGCTGTACACTGTACACTGTAACCATGTACATCCCAACCCTTTTCAGGCTGTACACTGTACACTGTAACCCTGTACATCCCAACCCTGTACAGGCTGTACACTGTACACTGTAACCCTGTACAGTGTACATCCCGACCCTGTACAGGCTGTACACTGTACACTGTAACCCTGTACATCCCAACCCTGTACAGGCTGTACACTGTAACCCTGTACAGTGTACATCCCAACCCTGTACATGCTATACACTGTACACTGTAACCCTGTACAGTGTACATCCCAACCCTGTACAGGCTGTACACTGTACACTGTAACCCTGTACATCCCAACCCTGTACAGGCCGTGCAGTGTACATTGTAACCCTGTACACTGTACACTGTAACCCTGTACATCCCAACTGTACAGTGTACACTGTAACCCTGTACAGTGTACATCTCAACGGATTTGATCTATTCAACTTTTGGTAAAGTTTTCACCCGTAATTATAAAGTTTGCTGAGGTTCACATCTTGCCAAAGAAATTTTATTTTCATATCTATCTTTTCTAACCAAACTTGATTCCGCGCGAGGAAGGGGTTGCAGAGCAGCCTTGAGCCCCGCAAAATGGTC